TAACACCTGTACATATAGATGCAAGCCTGCACATGTAGACTACTTACTGCACAGGAAATTTAAGCCAGCATAAATGCACGTTTAGACATGCCCAGTAAGTCCAAAATTAAAAGATGTAATTTAGTGGCCCACTTCAACCATTAGTTTTGTCTTTACTGACTGAAATGGGCATGTCTTCCTTCTTAATATGCGTAAGATTCTGTTAAAATGGTCAGCAAATATAGTAAACAAGAGAATTGAGAATAAGGGATTTCCAAAATTCTGTATTTAGACACCATCTGCCAGCCCTTGAATGTCAATGCACAGTTTCTGCCAGGTCAAACAGAATGCTAACATTCATGAAACAGGTTATCATAATACAGCCAGGAAGGTAATCATGTCCCATTACTTTATCCCTCAAAGGGCTGGCAGAGGTGGACACTTGGGGCACTTATACATATGCATGCACTCCTGTAGCACATGCATTTTTCTAAATGGTGAAATTCGCATCAGCGCTGAGAAAATGTCCGTGGCGCACTTTTGAATTCAAACACATTGAAGGTGTTTTATTTCAGAAGCTCACTGCTGCCATTTTCTCAGTGCTGACGTGCATTTTGCCAATTATACAGATGCATGCAATGCAGTGCTGGGCACACCAGCTCACATGTAGAGCAGACTCAATTAACTGATTAATCGAGTCTGCTCCGATGCACTGTATCTCCAGCACATTGGAGCAGACAAATGTATGTGTATAAATGCCCTTGTTGCTGTGCTTTTGGTTAGGGACAGAAATTACAACAAAAACTGGTTTAACTGATCAGAAACTGGTTTAAACCTGTAACAGAACAGAAGCTCAGCACACATAAATCAGTTTCAAAATGGCTGAAACTGGTTTAAGATAAACCTGGTAGAATGTAGTATCAGACTTAACTGATTTGGGTCAAACCAGTTTATGAAACATCTGTCCCAGACCCTTTCCTGGTTTAAGTTAAATCAGACACCCCCAGCATCCCAGAATTTTGCAGCCCTGGGTTGGGCTGTGCTGTCTGCTCCAGATAGCAGGGCCGGCCCCACCCCTCTGCTCCCTAGCTAGAGCAGTGAGGGTTGGCTGACAAGGGAGTGCAGGGGGCAAGCCCAGCTGGGGATGCAGCCCAGTCGGGGGTGAGCAGGTTGCCCCCCCAGACAAACCCCAGCTGAGGTCTGGGGCCAAACTCCTACTATACTGCCCTCCAGCTTCTGGCCTGGTTGAAAACTCCTGCTCTAGTGCCATCCAGCTTCTGGCCTGAGCCACTGCAGACATAAGGATGCATTTCCTGAATCAAAAGTAAATGTCTGTTCACTTCTGTTTCAATTTAATCTGTGTAGTTTAGACACCTGCAAAGACTGAACTGATTCAGCCTTAAGCTTTTTGACTGTCTGTACTTAGTCTTATTGTTCATGTTGAGACTGACATGGCAAGCTTTACTACCTGTCAAGGACTCACCATCTTTATCATGATAATTAGCATCATATTATAATATAGTGGCTTTTTGATAAACCAAGAGAAATGCACAGCTCATTTTTCTGTGTAGGGGCTTTATTTTACCTGAAAAATTAAACAGATGGAGAAAGCAAGTCATAAGGAAATACCAGTAATTCTCACAATATTGAACATATTATACCTGGATTATCATCTTTCCTGTTTTTAAATTCATCAGTAATAATTACGGTTAAACATCACATTGTTGATGAAATCATATACACTTCACTCCAATAATTTTATGTCAATTTTAACAATACACACTTAGTAAAATAAAAAATGTATCTATATATAACATTCATTGTAAAACTATACATGAGATCATACCATTTATATTTTATTTACCTCCTTTAAGACCAAAATGCTGGTATTAATCTCATGAAATAAATTAAAGGCTTTTAAGGTACTACGACATATTTTAAAAATGTTACAGATATGTTGGTGTAAGGGGGTGGTTTGTTCCCTTAAGAAGGGGCAGACAGCCCTACTAAGGACTGTCCAGTGGTGGGGCATTCTGCTAATGAATAAGGTGACCATATGAGAGAATGGGAAATCCAGGACACAGCCCTTTCCCCCGCTCCTAAGTCAGCAGTGCTGCTGCAGGCAGTGGTGGGGATGGGGAGGCACACACCAGGCAAGTGGGCATCACCAGTGTATGCCTGCTCACCTGCCTGGCATGCTGTGCTATTCTGCACCACACCACTTCCCCACTGGACTGAGCCTTGCACCCCAGCATTTCTAGGATGCTTATTTTAATTCTCACCAGCCAGCCAGGACCAGCCTCTGAAATCCAGGACTGTCCCAGCTAAACCAGGACACATGGTCACCCCACTAATGAGGGAATGCACCACTAGGAGTTTTAAAACACCAGAGGAGAGAACTGAAGGGCACAAGTTGTGAGGGAACAGCTTGCAAGGAGAAGCCAGGCTCCTGTGCTGGGGAAGACCCAGAGTGGAAAGTGGCTTGTCTCTGTCTAGAGAGGATGGAGGATTTTGGTTTGTTCTGCTTGTGGTGCTAGAGACTGAAGTTTGCCTGATGGGAATTGAATTGCCTTAGGAACTAGTAGCAGAGCTAATGGGCTTGCAAAAGGCAGCAAGTTAAAGGACCTGCTTATAGTTGGCTTTTTACTTTTACTGTTCCCAAACATTAAGGATGCACTGGAAAATGTATTAAAACTAACCACGGATCTGTGAGAGTCATGGGTTCTTTTTTGTTTGTTTTTGTTGTTGTTTTGTTTTGGGTTTTTTTGAATGGTAACTTTTATGAACTATTGCTATAGTTTGGGGAGAATTTAAACAACCTACCTCAGAAGAGTACCTTTTGGCCAAAAACTAGTCTAAAATCTCTCTGAATGATACAGTCACTCCAATAAAAGGTATCACCCAAAACAATCCTGACCTCTCACATATTTCCTGGGCCATTACAGCTACAGTATTATTCCTATGCTAGCATAAATGCAAATTCTTAACTGTTGATGCACCTTGTCCCTATACATCCTTTGTTGGCCTCCAATGGTGCTTGCAGATCTTTCTGGGTCACTGCTCTTTATAAAAAGACTACAGTCTTCTAGTGCTTTGCCACATACAAAGGCTGTTATTGAGGAGTGACACCTTCCTTTTAGCAGGGACAGGTAACACCCAGGATAAAGCAGTATAGGATTTGGCTTTGATTAAGGAAATTGAACCTGTCTTGGCATTTTAGGCTAGGCACACAAATTACATATAAACGAGTATAAGTGATCAGAAACCAGTTCAAATCTGTAACAAAACAGAAGTTCGGTACACATAAACCTCTGTCAAAATAGCCAAAGCCAGCTTAAGATAACCCTGGATGGATGTAGTATCAGATTTAACTTATTTAGGTTAAATAGGTTTATTGAATTTCTGTGCCAGATCCCTTCCAAATTCAAGTCAACTCACAGTCTCCCAGTAACCCAGGATGCTTTGCACCTCCCCCACCCCCCCGCAGGGTAGGTTGGCTAGCCTTGGCCCAAGCTGTCTGCTCAGCCAAGCACGGAGGTATGCTCTAGTGCCCCCTGGCACCTGGCCTGGGACACTGCAGACATGTCCCTGCATTTCTGGAATCAAAAGTGAATGTCTGTTCACTTGCTTATCAGTTCAATCTATATAGCTTAAACTAACCTGCAAATATTGAATAGATTCAAGTTTTTGACTGTCTATTCTAAGCCCTAGAGAACAGAGAAACAACAATTAAGGTAGGTAAAGGTAATATATTGGACTGTAGAGAGTCAGCTCCTATGCTGGTTCAGTGCTAGCTCTTTGATGCAGTACAGCTGATATATCTGAGTATATAGTTCCCTATCTACAATGTAATTCTAGAAGTTGGGACTACAAACTGATTTTTTTTTAAATAATTAATCAGCTATTTGTTGCCTGATTGCTGGTTTAGTTAAGTTTCACCCTTCCAGTTTCATTTATTCTGCCTGTTAGAGTTACCTTCTACTGAAATGTCTGCAAAAATAAATGGGTTGTTAGCTCAGCAACTAGAGCATTTAGAGTTCCCCTGGTCATTGATGTAAAAGTGTTGCAAGCCACAATCGGGTTATAGCTGATCAGAAACATGTGGTTCTTAAAATCAGGTCATGATAAAAAATGAAATTAGTGCTTATTAACTTTGTCAGATAACAGATCAATGATTCTTAGCCAGGGTGCTGCTAAATATTTGCGCTGTTAGGTGTGCAAATATTTACACATGGAACACCACATAAACCCAGAAATTTCAAGTAGGAATCATAGAAAATTAGGGTTAGAAGGGACCTCAGGATGTCATTTAATCCTACCCCCTGCTCAAAGCAGGACAATCCCCAACTAGATCATTCCAGCCAGGGCTTTGTTGAGCTAGGTCTTAAGAGCGTCCAAGAATGGAGATTCCACCACCTCTCTGGGTAACCCATTCCAGTGCTTCACCACCCTCCTGGTGAGAGAGTTTTTCCTAATATTCAACCTAAACTCCCTTTGCTGAAACTTGAGACCGTTACTCCTTACTTCTGTCACCTGCTACCACTGAGAATAGTCTATCCATAGTATCAAAAACATTCTAACCTGTTGTGGTTTCTCTGAGTTCTTTGCAACAAAAAAATTGCTCTATTATTTTTCTGTAATCAAAAAGTGAGTGACAGTCAAGAGATGGCATTTTCTGAGGGCTGTCTTGAGCCGAACAAGGGGTTCCTTGAACCTAGTTTGAGAACCACTGTGATAGATTATGATCAGATGTTCCCTTGATTTCACATAAGAACACACAAAATGTGTATTTCTTCATTCCTGGCACTGGTTTAGGACTCCACACCAATAAGGTGTGTTCACTGGCCAACTCACTTATCCCTGCTCCTACAGCTAGGATTTACCGGTTGTGGATATTGTGAAACATGAAAGGGGCCCTTCTACCACTACAGAAGTAGCCTGTGGCAGGCCAGTAGAAGGCACTCCTGCACTGAGCTGCCCACCTCACTACGCCCGGCCAGAAATCAAACTCTGAGTGTCTCCCCTGGGGGTGCCTAAGTCTATCCCACCCCCTTCCTGGAACACACCTGCAAACCTGGGGTACCGCCACCACCACCAGGATTCATGTCTTTGTCTGGGCCCTGTGCCACCCAGGATACACGGGCCCTGTAGACCTTGGGATTTTGGGATGTTTCTATTAGCCTGAAGCATTCACCAGCAACATCCCATGTGGGAGGAAAGTAAAATAGCCGAGCCTAACTTAGCGGGTCCCTTCCCTCTTAATCACACACAGTGAAGCACGCTAAAGCAGATAGATTTATTGATCGAAGTGGGGAAGGAATACCAATAGGAAAATATACAAAGGAAACCAACCTTGAACAAATATGAGTGGCTAGTCAGCCTTTTGATACACAACTAGATTACAGTCAACTGAGTTCCTAGTTAGGTTTCTGGTAAATTACTCACTTCTGCATTCAGAGGATGAAAGAGCTGTGGAGATTCATGCTGCTGTGTGTGCATTTTAAAAGTGTCTTCCTCCTTCTTCCTGGAGGGACCCTCTTAAATAGCCCTACTGACCTCACCACCTAAACCCAGTCAGAGACAGGTATTATTTGATGCCAGCCAATCACTTTGAAAAACACCACAGTTATCTAATGGAGTGACATGGGCTTAAGCCCCTGTTCCTATGCCGTGAGGTCAGAGCTCAAAACAATAGAGAGGTTAAATTTATGCCCTCTTACGTGAGGTCCGTCATGTAGGCAGTGGCAGCAGGTTGGCTGCCTAGCAACTGGATTGATAGGAACATGAGAGTAAGAGGGGAACGGACAACGCCAAGGGTGAGGAGGCTGGGAGGGAGTTCTTTCACATAGCCATAGTGGAGTAAATGTTCTGGAGTGGAGTGAAATGAGAAAGAGAGAGTGATTCTCTTCTGGAGTCAGAGGGAGATTATTATGGTGATTGGGGGAGGAGAGCAGGGGTCAGATGACTGTGGATAAAAGGGTTTGTTTGTTTCCCTTTATTCTTCTGTAGGAAGCTGGGTTTACCAGTCACCTGCAGTTACTGGCCTCTTGATCGCTGGGGAGGTGAGTGCCTACAAAGTCAAGGACTAGAGCAAGGGTTGCCATGGTAGAAATCTCCATTCTTCCCCAACTCTGAGAAGACAGCTGCCAGATTCCCAGCAAACTCAGATGTGACAGAACAGTATGTTTAGCAGCAGAGGGGAGAGCTACAGAGCAGATAGGCAGTGAGGCACAGCTTTCTGATACCAATCTCCCGTACCCAATCAGAGATCTGCAGGCTGGATCCAGCACATAAGCTGTAGGTCTAGAGAATCCTTGCCTGGATGGACTATTCCATGTCTGTGCAGTTGACTTGCCTGAATTGTAAAAGACTGATTTATTTACATATGATTTACATATGAAAATTACATGCAACTTGTAACATCTCTGGTGGGTTTCGATGGCTCAAATTCCCTGAATCCAGGTTATCCCAATCAGGCATTCTCTCAAATTCTATCAGTTCATTCCCCTCATCATACTCCAGTTTTTTATAATAAAAGGCAGGGCACGGTAACACCTTAGAGACTAACTTGTTCAGAGAAGAATACACTTTCATAGATGACAACTTACTTTGTCAGAAGTTATTGTCACGGGGGCACTTGGGTGCCCCGTTCCTGAGTAGGG